AAAAAAAATAAAATCCATTTCTCCAGAACAGCAGCAACTGCTGGAGCCAGTGATTCTCCAAGAGAATCTTGACCTTGAAGGTATTTAATGGGTGCCTCCGGTTATCTCTACAGTTGCTCCTTTAAATGAAACTAAAGTACATTTTTAAATAAGGCTTAAAAGCAGAACCTGAGTCACCCAAGCAGTTTCACCAATATACCTACACCATTTAGTGCAGAAAATTACAGAATTGTTAAACACAGCTTCAGCCTGATATCAGGCAACAAATCCCGTCATGTGCCAAGTAAGACCCCAATTTAATTCCATGGCCAGGATCCCTCTGCCTTCAGTCCATAAGAAGCAGCAAAGAGCTGTCAAGGACAAGCAAAGACACCACGTTATGTCTGCATTTGTCAACACCACTGCAAAGCTGCATCAGCTTCCTCCTGAACTGCACAGCAAAAGATCAACAACAGTTACCTGAAAAGCCAAACAGGTAGGTTAAAAAAAAATGGAAATGTGCTTATGAACACAAAACTCTTCAGAAACTTTATTTACCCTATCAGGGAGGTAACAGTGAAGGAGCAACTTTGATCAGTAAGAAAAAGTCACTATGAGAAACAGGAATTTAGTAATGCAGGTCCTTTCAGGTTAACACGGAATGACTGTTTCTAATCTAAAATTGCTTCAAGTATAAAGTGGCCCATCCATCAGAACAGCTTCCCAAAAATTACCACAGAATTTATCACCGTAAACACAGGTAAGAATGTTCATAGAATCCCTTAATGGGTTGGGTTGGAAGGGACCTTAAAGAGCATCCCATTCCAACTCCCCTGCCATGGGCAGGGACACCTTCCACTAGACCAGATGGCTCCAAGCCCCAACCTTTTATTTTGCTTTTCTCAAAAGGTTAAATTTAAGCAGAACTACAGCCTGTTTATTTGAGGTTGTTCAACAGTCCACATTAAACAAAACTCACATAATTCACAGTAGTTCCTTTGGGCCTGAAGGCTCCCAGTTGACCAATTCATTTATTTTAATGGTTGACAATGGAAAATTTACATACAAAATGTTGACAGCAATCCCAAAGTGACCACTGTAACAACACTAAGGGACAGCCCTTAGAATTTTGTCTAGTTAGATAAAAAAATGTATTAGATATTGCAAAACCCACTAAGCCTGTAAGACAGAGGACTCCTCAGCTGAGGATGCATCAGGCTACAACTCCTTGCTAATGAGTAGCAAACAGAAATCTATGATTAGTAAGGAATATTCCATTTATGTGCACACAGCTACTAGAAACCCCATCCAAACCCCTCAGAACTGGCTGCAAGACAACAGTCAAAATATCCAATGTCAGGTACAAAATCTTTCCCTGCTGGAAAACTCAGCCATTGGCAAACTCATGTCTTTGGTGTTCCTCCTTCAACTTACATCTTTTTAAAACGTGAGTTTTCTGCGAGGCCACAGCTGCCCATGGACACCACCCAGTCCCAAAGGAAGGGGGGTTTAAGGGCACCAGGCCACTGACACCTGCCTTCAGTGACAGCACCTTCTGCACCAGGGACCAGCTCCCACATGCGAACAAAGCCAGGCCTGAAGGACACGTGGAACAAAGTCATCAGAGCACAGTTCAGGGCTGGGGACAAAGGGGCACCGGGAGGAAGGGGACAGGACACACCTCAAGATGTCAACAAGATACCAGACAAGTCAAACAAAAGCTACTGACAAACAATGCGCTGACACCGAGACACTGTTCAGGTACTTGTTACCGCATTCAGCATCTCCTCAGCTCCCTCCAGCCACGCGTTCCAATAAATACATAATGAGCCATTACTTTGACGGGACTTCAAACAAAGCTGCCTTTTTTTTTTCCCCCCTCAAAAAAAATTAGAATATGAATGCTTCTGCTTCACCAAGAAATCCAGAGCCTTTTGTGAGCAGATGATGCCACGAGCAGATGTACTACAAGCAGACTCACAATCGAGCAGATGATCTCTTCTTCACCAGCCATCTTGACCTGTCTGGTTCGATTTACATAAACTGTGTCTATTCACTACAACATTGATTATGTAAAACTCGGCAAAATCTTGACCAAACACGCGGTGCCACATCACCGGCAGGGCAGACACGTAACGCGCTGCTGGGAGAAGGTTGTTGGAAATGTGTTTGCAGCAGCGACCGACGTGGAAAGCCCTGGGCTTCACTTGGGCTCACGTTAAGGTGCAGACGAGCAATCACAACTATTGCGAGACAACACAGCAACGTGTTCAGGTGGGAGAACCACCTACTGCCAAAAAAAAAAACAAAAAACGCCTCCCCCCCTTGATTTAAAGGTCAACAACCTCGCTTTAGTACTGCTGAGGCAGAGTAAGAGCAAAAGATAAAGGGAAAGTTTTGTCATCTTAAAAACAGGACTCTCAGCAGCTTGCCAGGTGTGCCAATTCCTTTGTTCATCACCCTTTTCACCACCTAATTTAAAAGTCTCGCAGCTCAAGACACAAGTTATTCATCAACATCACAATCAAGGCTTTTTTCAGAAAAACAACAACCCACACAGTGTCTCAAAACAGCTTCCCCCCCCCCCCCTTTTCGAATCTAGCTGCGAGGCTGCGCTATCAATTTTAATCAGGCAGTTGTAACAGGAGCTGCTTCGCTTCTGCCAGTCCCCAGGTCTCGGTTTCACTACAGAGAGGAGAGCAGACTTACATTGTCTTATTTAAATCAAGCTCCAGATTACAAGATTTTAATACAAAACAGGTATTAAGAGGGGTTTTTTAGCGCGCTGAACAGATGCTTAAGCCGTTCCAAGAGTTCCTAGTCACAAATGTTGAGTCACCAAAGAAAGAGAGAGATGTTTGCATTATTTATGGCACTACAGACAACATTTAAGACATCTCCGATAGGACATGCACTAATCAACTCCTGAAGTGGCAAATGGCTCTTAAATCCCCAGTCTTCGGTTCAAAAATGAAAAAGCACAGTTCCTGAAGTCATGGAATTTCCTGGACTGCTTCCATCATGTCTCCCTATTCCCACATCCCAGCTCCCAAGCACATTGTGTGAGCAGTGACAGCAAATGCCCCATTGTTTCAGCGCAGTGACCAGAGAGACTCAGCTCCCCGTTCACAGACTTCTTGTTCCCGACTGCACTGCAGGGACAGGAGGGTCTGTTTGCTTTCCCAGTACATGTTACACCTCAGGAGATGTAACCTCAGCAGTTCCACAGAACAGCTGAAACTCAAACACGACCTAAACTCAGCCATATGAAGTTTATTTAAATTTCACTGGCATGTTTCAACACACACAGCGAAGATCAAGACCCCGGCAGAACCGATAAGCAGAGATCAATGGGTTCCCATATTAAAGGCAGAGCACACCAGACTTTGCCAGGTTAAGATCAGAGCCAAAACATTTCATACTTCTGTACTTTCAACTGCTGCTAAAAATAGTAGAGCAACAGAAAGGAAAATGCTTCCAGCTGTGCACAAAGAGCCTCTGCAGCACAACATCAATTTATGCACTCTAATTTAATTAAAGATTCAGCATTATACTATGACTTTATTGTCAGAGACAGTGTTGCACAGCTGAGCTCACCCTCCATTTCCACAGCTGAAACAGTGAGAACATTTCTTTATTAAATTTAGTGTGATATGGTTATTTCTCACGAATCAAGTGACTTCAATTCAAGGATTTCAAGTACCAGCTACGCCACGTTCGTGGGAGCAGCTGTATTTTATTCCCCGGTAACTGCATCTTGACCCAGTCTCGTGACAGGAAACATTTAGCATCCCTTAAGGAAAAAAGGTGCACTGTCGGATACGGGCACCCATCCTGGGCTGCTCTTTTCCAAACAGTTGTTCTGCAGAGGTGAACGCAGCTCTTTTTGAAACGACTCGACCAAAACAAAACAAAACAAAAATCCCTAAGAAGCCAGAACAGGGTTTCCCACGACCTTGCAGCAAACGCGTACCAGATTCTGGGGGGGGGGGGGGGGGGGGGGGGGGGTTTTTGTTTTCCCCGGCTGGCTCGAAACCTCTCTGCCGTGTTTATGAATAAAAATTATTCCATTAACCATACGTCTCCACGCGTTAAAGTATCAGAATTAAGCATCTCTTCTAAGGGTTCAGAAGGGCTCTCAGCAAGCGCGGCTTAGACGCTTCTCCCTCATCTGCTTCCGCGGCGCTCAGCGAGCTCTAACAGCAGGGCAACGGCGTAATGCCAAGCGGATTACTTTAAGATCCATATCAAGCCGAGAAAATAAACATTTCCACTACGAATCTGAATATAAGCACTTCACCCTCCTCCTCCCCGTTCCAAAGTCATCTCCCCCCTGCCATCTGCAAGGAGGACGCCGCCGTCTCCCGGAGCCGGGCGGGCTCACACGGCGGCAGCGCCGCCGGAGGGACGGGGAGAGGGGGGTGTCTGTGTGTCATAATAACGCGGAGCCCCGCACCAAGTTTCTTCTTCTTCTTCTTCTCCTTCTCCCCGGACCCGCCGCGACATCCCCCCCCACCTCCCCTCCTCCCCGGGAGCCGCCGGTCCCCGCTCCGCCCGTTCCGCCCTCGGGCACCGGGACCGGCAACGGCCGCGCCGCGCGCTCCCCCCGGGCACCGGGACACCCCCTTCTCTCCTCGGGCACCGGGAGTCCCCCCTCAATCCCTCCCCGCTCCCCTCAGGAGCCTGGACACCCCCCTCCCTTCATCCCTCCCCGATCCCCCCAGGCACCGGGACCCCCCCCCTTTGATCGCTCCCCGCACACTCCGGGACCCCCCTCGGCCCCCAACGGCGGCTCCGCGCGCTCGGGCGGTGGGAAGGCGGGAATCACCCCCTCGTTCTTCCCCCCCCCACCACCCTTCCACCTCCGAGCGCTCGCTCACAGCGCCGAGACACCCCAGGGGAAAGAGCAGGGGGGAGACACTGGGATGAAAGAGGAGGGGGAAGCCCCCGCCGCTCCCCCCGCCCCGGGACCGCCGCGCCCCCCCCCCCCCGCAACCCCGGCTCCCCTGCCCAGCGCTCACCCCAGCACCACCAGCTCCCCGTACTTGACGGGCTCCTTGTTCAGCGCGCACAGCTCCTCCTGGCTGGGCGAAAACATGGGGCCGCCGCCGCTGCGGTCGCACCGACGGCCGCCCCCCCACCGCGCGTCGCGTCGCGTCCCGTCCAGGCAGCCGCCGCCGCCGCCGCGGGGCCGCGTCCCGAGCGGGCTCCGCTCCGCTCTGCGCCCGCGGCCGCCGGCAACGGCCACTACACCGCGGGGGGGGACGGGGGCGGGGCCAGCGCGGGCACGGACCAACCCGCCGCGCCGCGGGAGGCGGGGGGGAGCACTGAGAGTGGCCCCGCCCTCCCCACGCCTATTAATGGCCGGTGGAGGGGGCGGAGCGAACCACGCGGAGCACCGCCCCCTTCCCGCGCGCCTCCCCCCCCCCCCTCGGCACGGCGAGCAGTGGTACGGCCCGGCCGTGTTATGTAAACATAGAGTAAAGGGGACCCGGCCGCTCTTAAAGGGGCCGCGCACCCGCGGGACCGGCGGGACGGGGGGCTCTGATCACAGACGGAGGATGGAGGGGGTTCTAGGTCACCGCACGATGTGTTCCAGATCATCTGTGACGTTCCACATCACCTGGGGGTGTCCAGATCCCAGCGGTGTCTCCAGCCCCCCCACCTGACCCAGGTTTAGGTCACCTGCGGGGCTGGGTCTCTTCTTGTCTCTGCCGCGGGTTCTACATCACCTCCCCGCGCCTCTGGAGATCTGCGGTGCTCTGGGTTCCCCCGGAGAGCTCCTGGGTCACCTCTTGCCCCAGCGGGAGGGGGCTCGGACCACCCCCACCTCCTGCGCCTTCCATATGGTCTCCAGCAATGGGGCACCATCAGCTCCTGCACTTGTGGCTGGAGAAGGGCCGCTCGCCTGTCTCCCATCCCTGGAGGTGGCAGGAGCCACAGAGCCCACCTTCCAACCCCTTCTGTCCGCTGTCTCCTTCTGGGGGTACAGAAATTCCCCCACCCCCTTTGTTCTTCAGTAGTCTTAAAGGTCCTTTCCAACCCAAACCGTTCTATGATGTCCAAGGATTTCCCCCCCCAGTGTCTCCCCCAGCACTCCCTTCTCTCCTCCTTTGTCCTCTGTACCAGACTAAAGCCCCAAACCAACAAAGATTGGCTTGACATTGATCAAAGTCGAGGATAGAAATCCTCATTAGCCAATATTGGGGGGCTCCAAGCCACTAACAAAGACAAAAGTAATCTCAGCATCCACCACGCTGCTCCTGGCCTTTCCCAAGGAGCATCCTCTGGGCTGGCACAGTCAGACCCAGGATCAAGTCCCATTCCTCCTGCTGAAAGCTTTCCCTCCGCCAGAAATTGTATTTAGCTATTAATTTTCCCCAGTAATGTTATTTTTCTGTCGTTCTGGTGAAGAGGTGAAATGGAAAAACCCAACCAATCTCGCAGGGCCACACAATGGAGATCTTCCCAGGGGCTGTGTGAAGAAGACAAGATTTTATTAAAGACAGGGAGCTGAATTATTGCAGATTTATCTTCTTTATTGCTCTAACAAAATAGAAAAGAAAGCCGGGCTGTAAGTCACTGTCAGAGAACACAAATACATCCCCAAAAACAGTGTGAAAAACAAACCTCCTGGCTGCATCCTCTTCGACTTCTCCATTTCTCCCCTGAAAGCAAGACCTTCAGAGCAGCTTAGCCTTCTCATGGCAGAAACAAACTTCAATACTCTTCCAAAAACTGCTCCCAAACAGCTCAGCTGGGCTTCCATAAGTCAAACGTGGCTGGACTTGGAGCATCTTCTGCTGCTCCCCCAGCCCCGAGTGGGGATGGAGGGATGAGGAGGGACCTGGAAGATCTGATTTTGCTTCTTTCTCCCACTTTTTCATTTTTTAACATTGAGCTTTTTGTAGAACAGGGGAAAGTTGCACAAAATTTTACCCACAAAGTTCATAACAAAAAAGTTCTGCACTCTTTGGCCAAACCTATTTTTTTCTGCACACAAACCAGTACATTTGCTGTCATTAAACACAGAAATGCAGAAATTATTAAATACAGCAAATGCACTGGTTTGCATTGCTGAAAAAAACCTGATAAATTCAGAAAATGTGCTCCTTTGCAATGCTGAGGAAAAAAATTAAATACAGAAGATGCTCTTCTTTGCATTGCTGAAAAATAAATGTGCAGGGGAAAGAGCCCAGTGGGATTCACAGGGGAATATTTGCATCTGATTTATTCATAGAAGGTGGATGAGCTGTGCTGGGATAAGGAGTCACACACCTGCCATGTACCTGTGGTGGGAGACTGTGAAATAACCCTGAGCCTGGGCTGATCCATTAATTTTTTCCTTGGAAATGTGCTTCATTTGTTCATGCCCAATCCCTTCATTCTGCACCTCTCCACGGGGTGTTTTAGGCTGGCAAGTGAAGAGGGAAGATGAGCCCCACAAGGTGTTTTAAGGACTGCTGGTCTTTTCCTCCCAAATTGTAGCTTTCCTCATTTCAATTCCAACAGGACCAATTGCTCCCAGCGCTGGAAACACGCTTTTAATTGTTTGATTTTAAAATTTTTTAAATTTTTGGCTGATGAAGCAGAGCCAGGAGGAGGGAGCAGCTTTGCTGAACGTTGCACAGCTCCCTGACCCACACAGACCACAGCCCCAAATCCCAGCACTGCTATTCCCTCCAGCTCCAAACATTCCTTTTGCAACTGGTGCGAGCAACACTTGGCTGGCATTTTTTCCCCAAACCCATTGAAATAATTGAGAAATATCCCCACAGCTGCATTCTGCTGTTTTTCAGCTCAAAATATCTTGTGTTTTCGGATACAGGATGGCTCAGCGTGGCTTTTGAGGGCTGTGAAGGGAGGTTTGGTAGTTTTCCACTGGAAGTGAGAATCACAGATAACTTGGATCACCTTCCCAGCAGCATCAGTGCTGTGAGAGGGAGTTTGGTCCCAGGTTTAGCAGGAGCAGTTGCCTGGATGGATGGAGGGCTATCCAGCCAAGCCAGACGAGCAGTAAAATCAATGTTTGGAAAAAAATCCCAAACATGAAGAAACAGTGCATGCCCATTTATTTTTAAAATGTAATAAAAAGTTATTTTAAATTGCAGGAAGATTAATAAGGCTCTAATTCAGCAAAGTACTTCCAGATGTGCTGGACTCCGGGTGTACTTCAGTGCTTTTATGAATCAGGGCTTAAGGAAGGGGCTTTAAATGCAGAGAATGTATTCAAAGAGGTTTTTAAACTAAAAGAAGGCAGGTCGAGATTGGATATTGGGAAGAGGGTGGTGAGGACTTGACACAGGTTACCCAGAGAAGCTGTGGATGCCCCATCCCTGGAAGTGTCCAAGGCCAGGTTGGATGGGGCTTGGAGCCACTTGGGCTAGTGGAAGGTGTCCCTGCCCATGGCAGGGGGTTGGAATGGGATGATCTTTAAGGTCCCTTCCAACCCAAACCATTCTGGGATTCTATGAGTCTAAATAGCCCCTGAATCACACCTGCAGCTTCCACTGCACGTGGAACTCGTGTGGATCAGCACAGAAATAGGGATAAAGGTTTCCATTCCCAGCCCTGTATTATTGCTGGTCATAGAAAGGTTTCCAGGAGTGGGATCAAGTCTGTGTTCAGCCATCGGTGTGGATGGTTGGAAAGTTGATCTCTGGGGTTGCAGCAGCCTGGATTTGGTGCTCCAGGAGGGGAATAAACCCCAGGAAAGGAGAAAAACTGTCTCAGCTCCAAGGTTAGGATTAAGGGGGTATGACCTGGGTGGGTGCAAACCTTTCTGGCTGGAAAGTCTCCAGCTGGCAGGTGAGTGAGGCTCTTGAGGAGTCACCGAGTGGAAACAGCAGAAGAAAGAGCTGTGTTTTTTTTAAAAAAAAGCTGTTTTAAAATTAGATTTGATAAATAAACTACAGGAAAAATAAGATGTGATTGCTCATAATAATATGTGTGGGGATGCTCTCAGTCCTGTGTTTCAGAGGTTCAGTTCCTGAAGTAGATCAGACTGAAAGAGATTTGCTTTTTCTTACACCATTTGGGAATCATTTGAACCTCCTATTGTCTAATTTTCCACCGTGGCATATAACTGTCTTGATTCCCAGTAACAGCTAAAATTTAGAAAGGAGAATTGCATTAAAAAGTAAGTGTAAGAGCTAAAAGGATAAAATACTTCTGAATACCCCAGTAGCAGCTTAAAGTTATGGTACAGGCTCCAGCTTAACATGTAACACTCCTTAATAAAGACCCTAAAGGATTTTTTTAAAAACAAAGAAGTTAAGCAGCAGAGTGAGGAAGGGTATTAGGAACAAAAAAGATAGCTGTCAAAAATGAGGAAAATAGAATATAGCATAAACACCAGCAAGTATAAAACCACAATAAGGCAAGTGGAAAGGATATTACAGAGCAGTTTGCCAGAGGCATAAAAATGCACATAAAAACACAGAAGAGACAAAAAGTCAACCAGGGACTCACTGGGACCAGCAAAGAGTGAAAGTGAGGAAGAAGTTTTGGGTGAAATAAAATGTTGGTGGCTTAAGTAAATGAGCTCCACATGTGTCTGCACCAGGAGCTGGAGGTGGAGATTCCCACAGCAAAACCCTCATTATCTGCAATGAGTCTGATAAGCTTCTTAAATACAAGTGTCACCAAGAAAGATTTTGGAATAAACAGATAAATTGAGAGAGGAGCAAATTTCCAAGGTGAGATGTCACTGGCCTAAGCCTTGGAAAGAGATTCAGATATAATTATATTAATAATTGTATCTGTATAATTATATTTTACAAAACATTGTATTTGTATAAATATATTATTATTTGTATAATTATATAAAGGACTGTATTTGTCTACAGGATGAGAAATAACAAACTTGCCACTGAAGAAACAAGTCTAAGAGTTTAAACTTTAAGAGTTTAAGTTTGAGTGTAAAATACAATCAAGTTCAGGTAAATATGGATACCTGGGATGCGCTGGGAAGATCTGATACAGCAGGGAAAGGGCAATAGGAGGCTTTTGCAGAAAGAAGCCAAAGTTTATAACACATTCACACCCCCTGAAGCAGTCAATGAATATGTTGGAGAAGGTGATTGCATGTGTATCACATTCCTGGGGTTCGGGAAAGCTTTGCCACTGCAAGAGCTGTCAAAGAGATAAAAGTAGCATGAGATAAAGAAAGGCCTTCGTGGATT